TATATATATATAGATGGGAGAAGTAGAGAAGGCGCCCATGGAGGGGGAATCCTTCTCCTCTTTCAATTGGTGGAAGAATGGTTCCCTCCCTTTATAAAGTTTGTTCAAGTAGATCACGAGACGCCTCTAGCACTCCATAAGACCGCGCATACGAGCGCGTGCGTTCGTATGGAACACCGTCTTTTATTCTGTCTTATCTAATGTGCCTCCCATTTGATGTCATCTATCTCCTCTTTATTTCTTTTCATGTATTGACTTGATTTCGTCCATATTTAAACTCGGGTTCGATGAGCGTAAAAAATATCATTCATCAAGCGGCGCGTGTGGCTGTGCCGGGCGCGCCAGGGTGGAGGCAGTACTTGGAATCCCTGTGCGTGGATTGGAGCTGGGAAAGCTTGTTTCGCAGCGCGGTCATCTCATTCTTGGTCGCCTCTGCCAACAGTGCATGCAGCTTCTCGACATCGGCGGCAGACCCGTCGTCTAGCGGCGCCGACAAAGGAGTCGGTTATCAGATCGTTCACCTTAGTTGAATCTACTGGCAGGACTTATCCATCGTCGTCCCGTGGACCCACCCACTCGCCGTCCCTACCGACAGCCCTCGGTCGCACCAGGGTGTCGTGCCCTTCAAGAGCGACGGCGGTGTGTCAAGCGGGCACATGCATAGCCGTCGGCGTCCACCACAAAACCGGGGGAAGATGAATGTCTTCTCGTGGTAGGGGGCTGGAGTTGGAGGGAGGGACCCAATCACTTTTTTTTTCTTCCTTTGAGTCATTCTGCAAAACCAAATTAGATTTGTATGCAATTGATATTTTCTTTGCCACGCCAGCATCTGCAAGCTTGCCTGGTCATTGAGTTCGGGGATTAATAGAACCAAAACAAGCGATATGTGCAATCTGCAAAAATTAGGCCCTACATGCGGTCTTACCGGCTAGTGATGACGCAAATGTGTTGGTTTTACGCTTTTTATTCGTGCTTTGCGAGTGCCACAACTGAATTCCAGTAGTGATGGCACTTCGAAACAATCAACGGCAATGAACCAACTTCCTGGGCATAAAATGGTCATTTTTTGACAAAAAGAATAATATATTTCCAAGGTTATATCAGTGCACCCAAGATTGAGTTTTTTTGCCTCTTGAGCTCTAATTTGCTATAATAATAATAATAATAATAATAATAATAATAATAATAATAATAATAATAAATGCAGTTCGTTAGTTTTAGAAAATCTCAAAGATCACAATATATAAAAAAAATCATGTACTCCCTCTGATCCATATTAATTTTCGCTGGTTTAGTACAACTTTGTAAAGTTGTACTAATTAATATGGATCCAAGAGAGTACTTTTATAATAAATGCTGCATGTGCTAAAAATCCATGTTGTGCAGGAATGCAGATTTTGTGAGCTTATGCACTCGGGCCTCACTATCCAAGCACTCCAATGTTGCTTTGAGATCTGTGCTACACAACTACCTTATTACATGGAATTTTCTCTTTTTTGTTCCTCTCATATAAAACATGTCTTGAACTTCAAACTTTGCAGTACAACATAACTTTGTAACTAGAATGTGAGATAAAACTTTCAGATTTTTTTGTCCGACATAAATATGAAAAATAAGATTTTTTTAACCAAACAAATCTCATTTTGTATATTTATGTTGGACCAAAAAATCTGTAAGTTTTATCCCACATTCTACATAGAAAGCTTTGTTGTGCTGCAAAGTTGAAGTACAAATACATGTTCTATATGAGAGAAACAAAAAAGAGAAAATTATTTGCACGAATCGTGATGCAGGAATGAGTGGTTGGATAAGGAGTACCCGGGTGCATAGGCTCTAAAACATGTTTTCGTGTTGTGCAGCTTAAGTGAAATATGTATCTCATCAGGAAACTTGGCAACCGATATAGTTCACATCCATATTTTTTGCAGAATATTTTCATGCTTTAAATCAAATTTTAATCTTTTTCAAAATTTGGGTTCCATGGAGCCAAAATTAATTCCCATATGCATAGCATCTATAATAATATACGTATAGACTGCCAAGACATCATAAATGCACAACAAATTGCTTAAAGAAAAGAAAATTCAAAACATAGAAATGTCCTGCCATAGCGATCAATAGTCCTTGCAACAACGATCATTGGCACCAATCATTGCTTGACAACACAAAAACTGCAAGAAAGATTCCTCAAAAGCAAGGTCTCTCGAGAAATAATGACGTGCAAACACCACCGTCGCTGCATCCAACAACCAAAGGTCGAAACATGGATATTTTCATTGCAAAATTGATATTTCATTGCCACATCGGCATCTGCAAGCGGACCTGGTCTTTCAAGTTCGGGGTTTAACAGAGCCAAAACGAGTGATCAGTACAATCTGGGAAAAAAAATTAGGACCTACATGTGGTGCTTTCTACAAAATCCCTATAAAAACGCCTTTCCTGCTAGTGATGGCGCAAATGTGGTGGTTTTATGCTTTTACTCGTGCTTTGCTAGTGCCATGAGCGGCAATGAATCGACTTGCAAGGCATTATTAATGTTCATTTTTTCGAGGAAAATAACAATATATTTCCAAGGTTATATTAGTACACCCTGGAGTGAGTTTTTTTTTTGCCTCCTGAGCTCGAAGATTTGTACAAGATTAATGATATAAGTTAAAAAATTCTGAAGCTCATAACATATAATAAAAGTTCATGTATTTTATAGTGAATAGTGCATGTGCTAAAAATACATGTCTTGCAACGCTGTTGAATATGTATTTCAACATGAAACTTGGCAACGATGTAGTGCACATTCATACTTTTTTGCAGAATGTTCTCAAGATTTAAAATTGTTTTTAATCATTTTCAAAATTTGAGCTCCGTTGAGCCGGAGAGCCAAAATTAATTTCCATACGCCCAACATTCATAATAATATAATAATGCCAAAAGGCTGCCAAGACATCATAAATACACTACAAATTATTGAAAAGAAAAGAAAATTCATGACGTAGAAATGTCACGCCATAGCGATCGACAGTGGTTGCAACAACGATCAATGGCACAAACCGTCCCTTGACAACACAAAGACTGCGAGAAAGGTTCTTCAAAACCAATGTCTCTAGAGAAAGAATGACGCGCAAACACCACCATCGCTGCATCCAACAACCAAAGGTCAAATCATGGTTTTTTATTCCCAACCCAAGTGCGAACAACTCAAAACAATGCATGCATGCCTTCAACAAGATGGCATCGTGCAAACCCCACAATTGCTAGGTACAACAAATTAACATTAAACATACGGTTCTCACCTGGAGCAAGAAATCAGATACTACTAGAGTAGCGCCATCAAGCCAACTTGTCGTCTCCGCTTGCTGACCTGGCACGACAGTACTCCTGGCCTTGACCAGGACGACACTTGGTCGCGTGCAAGTATATGTCCAGCTCGATTGCAATGCCAGACAGCGAGAGAAAGGAGAAGTAGAGAGCAAGGTTTGATACGATAGGATGGGGGGGCAAAGTGATCCAGCATCCCATTCTTTGGTGCATGGGGAGAGAGGAGTATCCCATTCTTTGTTGCGTGGAGAGGGACATAGAGTACTTAGCAATGGATATATTTAGCAAGCATGTGTAAAGCAACGTGTGCCTTTGAACGATTCGTGTCCCAAAGAAGACACCTACGGGCACTCCATCGCCATGATTCCCGGAGCCGACATCACTATATAATGTATAGATATACAAAATACAGTAGTATATATCTACTGGGAAGTGGTATACATAGTGCGTTCCCCACCCGGAATCGTGGCGATGGAGCCGACAGAGGACATTGAGTTCCTCTGGAAGTGGCGCAAGTACCTGCTGCTGCTCGCCACGCTGGTCGCCAGCGTCACCTACGGCGCCGGCCTCAACCCGCCCGGCGGCGTGTGGTCCAAGGACCACGATGGAGGCAACACCCCACAGCAGCGCCCCCGCGCCGTCAACCCGCCGGCGCCCCCGTCCCTTGCGGTGTCCCCGGCGCCGGCGGTCTACCCATTCCGCGTCGGCGATCCCGTGCTGGTGTCCACCTACTCGGCCCGGTACACCGCCTTCTTCTACTGCAACGCCACAGCCTTCGTGGCGTCGCTGGTCATCATCATGTTCCTGCTGGATCGGCGCCTCAGCGGCAACCGCGTCGGCCTCACCGTGCTCCGCTCCGCCATGCTGCTTGACCTGCTGGCTCTCATGGCCGCCTTCGCTGCCGGGAGCTGCCGCAGCGTGCCTGGGTCCATCTATGTCTCCTTGCTCTTCGCCGTCGTCTTCGTCTACGTCGCCATCCACCTCCGCGTGGCCTCGAGGACGGAAGCGCCGGCCGCGGACGCGGAGGAGAAGAGGCGCCTCAAGGAGCAGCGCAAGTTCCTGCTGCTGCTGGCCACCTTCGCGACGCCGCTGGCGTACGGCGCGGGGCTGGCGCCGCCGGGAGGCTTCTGGAGCGAGACCCAGGATATGCACCGCGCCGGCGCTCCGCTGCTGCACGACGGGCCCTACAAGATCCGCTACCACATATTCTTCTACGCCAATGCCAACTCCTTCGTGGCCTCCCTCGCCATCATCATGCTGCTCATGAGCAGGACGCTAAGCGACCGTCTCGTCCGGTCCAAAGCTTTGCTTGTGTGCGTCCTGGGGGAACTGCTTGGCCTCATGATCGCTTATGCCGCCGGGAGCTGCAGGTGGATCCCCACCACCGTGTACATCGTCTCCCTCGTCGGCGCCGTGGTCATCTACATTGTGTTGGTGCCAGCGTTCGGCCTCGACGCGATCGAAGAATGGCGTAAGAAACTCGTTGCCTGTGTTGGCCTTGGGCCAAAAGGTGATGGGCAAGAAGTTGCAGCGAGGACAATCAACATCGGTGCTCGGCAAGAAGTTGCAGCGAGGACAATCAACATCGAAGAAAAGCTGGAGCAGACGCGGTCGCTTGTGCTGCTGCTGGCCACGCTGGCGGCGACGGTGACGTACCAGGCAGGGCTGAGCCCGCCGGGCGGCGTCTGGCCCGAAGGGCATCAGAATCGCATCGCGGGGAACCCGGTTCTCCACGACATGCACCTCAAGAGGTACATGGCCTTCTACCACTGCAACACGGCGGCGTTCGTGGCGTCCGTGGTTGTTATCATCATCGTCCAGAGCAAGGTGCTGAGCACCGTCTGGGGTGCCATGCTCCTCAAGACTGCCATGATACTGGACCTGTTCGGCCTCATGGGCGCCTATGTTGCCGGGAGCTGCCGGGATCCCACCACCACCATCTTCGTCGCCGCGCTGGCCGTCGCCGTCTTCCTCTACACCATGGCCAAGGTCGTGGGCAAGCAGAGCTGGCTGGCACGGTGGGTGCAACGCATGCTTGTAGCGTTGCTCCCCCCTGAGTTGCCCCGGAAAGGAGGAGGAGACGCACCTCAAGCTATCAACCTCCCCGACGAGCCGTCCCAGCAAGGAGGAGAAGCACCTCAAGAAGCTTTCCATGTCATCCACAATCCTGACGAGTCGTCCCGGCAAGGAGAAGAAGCGGCGCATGTTCCTGCTGCTGCTGTTGTGCACCTTGGTGGCGAGTCGTTCCGGCAAAGAGGAGAAGAAGCAACTCAAGGAGCGGCACAAGTTCCTCCGCTTGGATCTGAGCGTATTCTTGAAGAAAAAAAGCTCGAGAGGAAGCGCAAGTTCTTGCTGCAACTCGCCATCCTCGCCGCCACCGTCACGTACCAGACAGGGCTGAACCCGCCGGGCGGATTCTGGACGGAGAGCAATGGGGATAAGTTAGTCACCGCCGGCGACCCAATCCTCCTCGACTACTACGGGGTCAGATACCAGGTGTTCTTCTACTGCAACGCGGCGGGGTTCATGGCGTCCGTCACCGTCATTCTCCTCCTGGTGAACCAGACGTTGTCCAAGCCGGGCATCCGGACCAAGGCGCTCTACGTATGCGTCATGGTCGGGCTACTGGGCCTCATGGGCGCCTACGCCGCAGGCAGCTGCCGGAAGCTGCGCACCTCCATCTATGTCTTTGCACTCGTGGCGGCCGTCGTGGCCTTCCTCATCCTGGAGATCCTACTTCATTGGCTCGGCCGCAGGGGTTGGTCCAAGTGCCTCCCTAAGTGCCTAACGAGGCTGTTTGAGACATTGTCGACTGGGCCGGGCGGTGGCAGCAAGAACAAGAGCGATCAGGAGGTGATCACCACCGTGGATAAACTAGAGAGCGAGGACTATGAGAAGCGTAAGTACCTGATGGTGCTCGGCATCCTGGCGGCGAGCGTGACGTACCAGGCTGGTCTCGCGCCTCCCGGCGGCACGTGGGGCGACGACGATACCGCTTCGTCGTCGCCCTTGCCGTCCCCATCGGCACACCCACCCACCGTCGCCGGCAACCCGATCCTGCTTGACTTCAATGCTGCACGGTACCAGGCCTTCTTCTACTGCAACGCAACGTCGTTCGTGGCCTCGGTCGTCGTCATCTTGATGCTGCTGCAACGCACCACGAAGAAGCAGCAGCCCGGCGCGCCACTGCGGGCATTGCAGACCGCTGTGGTCCTGGACCTGCTCGGCCTGCTGGGCGCGTACGCCGCTGGCAGCTGCAGGGACTGGGAGACGTCATCGTACGTCATCGCGCTCGTCGCGGCAGTGGTCGTCTTCACCTTGATCTACGTGTTGTTGTCATTCAACGTCGTGCGGGCAAAGGCCGAGGAGCTCACGGTGTGGAAATACTTTTCACAAAAGGGGTTGAACTACTCGGGAGCACGCAATGATCATGATCAGCCAGCCGGAAATGGTGTGTAATTAATTAATTATTTCTTCTTATTCCATAAAAAACTAGTTAATTATTCTTGTTTACATTCCCTTGATTTGAAGTTTATTTTTTCCGAGCATTCCCTTGATTTGCAGTGCTGTTGATCGGACAACTCATGTAAGATTATTTTATTTTATTTTATTTTTTGCTGGGAAACTTGTTTCTGGTTTTGATGTACACAATATATGAACTACGTGTATATTTTCATTCATGGAAAAACAAACTACCTGTGTACATTTGTACATTTTGATTAAGTTCAGTTCAGTTTTCAATTGTTTAGTTGGAGGGGATTCTGTTTCGATGCTTTTGTGTATCTCACACAACAAACAAAAAACAATTTTCGAGTCACCTTGATCGGATGTTTTTCTGGCAGAGTTTTACCGGGTATTCTGGTAGCAGAGTTACCAGATTTTGGATTGCACGAAACAGATGATCGATTTGATGACATTTCAACGGATGAAAAGATAGTCAATTATCTGCAGGAAGTAGGAGATCCACAAAAAGTAGCACCCAGAGCATATATATATGTTTATAGAAGGAGCCCACCCAGGTGATACGCCAGAAATCCTTTCCCGGCGGGAATCAAACCCTGGGCTCCCATCACGACCCTTGCCACTAAGCCTTGAGCGCTCGCGCCGTCGGTCGTTGTCCCTGCCTGCACACTCCCTACTCGGCCATCTAGATGCTCGAGTAGAACTATCAAACCGAAATCATCTGGTGTCGTCCTACTTGCTACTTGCTGACCTCGTAGACAATACGTCATGTGGGTCGCGTGCAACCGTGCACCTCCAGCTCGATTGCATGCTGTCATGAGTGTGATGCCAATTAAAGTAGATGTTGGGTACAGGAGGGACCAATCAAAGCGAGCTTTTGTCTGAGTGAGCATCCCATTCTTTGCGCATGGGGAGGGATGCATATATCATGGAGCATCCGTGCAGAGAGAATAATCAGCAACGGATATATTATCAGCTACCATGTGTAAGCAACGTGTGCCTTTGAATGATTCGTTCCCGAAAGTGCACTCCATGGCCATGATTGTTCGTCATGGAGACGGCGGACGGACGGGACCGGATCACTATATAATACTCCCTCCGTTCTAAATTATTTGTCGTGGTTTTAGTTCAAATTTAGAATGAAGGGAGTCTGTGTATATATGGTGCTCCGATTGTTGAAAGATCCAGGGATTCCTGGCTTTGCATTGATTTAGCATAGAGCAATTGGGAAACAAAACATGGGGTGGGTGACCCGTAGGTCAAGGATTAAAGAGAAGAGAAAACGGAGAGAAAGGGGAAAAAACTAGGGTTTGGGCAAGTTACATATCTCCCAACGTATCCCCGAACGGGGGCTCTAGGTTTGTCGCGCCCGCAGCGCGCCAGAGCTCGATGGCTCTTCTGATGGATGAGACTATCTGAGAGGCGGATGCCACCTTGCCCCTAAAAGTGCAATCGTTTCTTTCTCTCCATATTTCCCACAGAGTCAGGAGGATGAGGGAGTTGACAGCTTTTTTGAAAGCCGAGTTGGTGTCATTGATCATCTTGGTGGTGATGAGCAGCGTAGAATTTGTCATCGGTTGCCATCTGACCGGGTCGACGGCATCACAACCGTTCCATGTCGCCAGTTTCTGCCAAACATCCGTGGCCAGGTTGCATTGCCAGAAGAGGTGCGTCGCCGTTTCTAGGTTTCTGAGACATAGTTGGCAGAAATAACAGTTTGGCCACCCTCTTCTTTGTAGCCTGTCATTGCACCAGATTCGTTGCTTGCTTAATAACCAGCAGAATATCTTGATTTTTCCAGGTGCCCAGGCATTCGAAATTAGCTTGTGCATAGGGGATTTGATCCTGCCCAGGAGTTGCATGTTGTAGGCTGATGCTGTAGTGTAGTTCCCTGAAGCCGTGAATTTCCAGATGATCTCGTCCGGGGTCCCCGGCTGCAGTTGTACAGCGGCAAGACGGAGCGCCTGGCCAGCCGAAGGAAATCCTGCAGCAGGCCATCCGTGTGTCCATGGGCGAGGTCTCGGATCCAAGCGTCAGCCGAGAGGGCTTCTTTGACTGTTCTGTTCTTTCTCCTCGTGTGTGCAAACAGAGCTGGGAAGGAAGCACACAAGGTCGATGATCCCAGCCAGGTACAGTGCCAGAAAGAAGCAGTTTCCCCGTTGCCCATAGTCACTTTTGTTGCTGCAGCGAAAAGCCTCCTGTCATAGTCGTCGCAGGGCAGATCCAAGCCCGCCCAGGGCCGGTCCGGGCTGCGCCAGTTGAACCAAAGCCACCGTAGCCTGAGCGCTCGCGCGAACTGCTGCACATCAAGAACACCGAGGCCCCCGTAGTCCGTCGGGGAGCAAACTGTGGGCCAGTTGACATTGCATTTGCCGCCGGAGAGTTCGTCGTCTTGAGCCCAAAGGAAACGCCGTCTACACTTGTCTATGTCTTTGAGCAACTTTTTTGGAGCCCGCAGCACCGTCAGAGCGAAGGTAGGCAGAGCCGTTAGGACGGAGCGTACTAGAACCCTACGACCTGCAATCGACATGAGGCGTCCTTTCCATGCTGCTAGTCTGTCTCTAATGCGATGAGGATGAATTGCAGATGGACTAGCCGGACGCGGGACGTGGTGATGGGAAGTCCTAAGTAGCGCAAGGGGAAGTTGACGACCGGGCCGCCAAATCCATATAACACGTGTTGAAGGTCGATGTCTTCACAGCTAATGGGTGCTACAGACGATTTCTGTAAGTTTATGCGGAGTCCTGTGGCCTTTCTGAAGTTGTCAAGCAGCAGGAGCAAGTTGTCGATTTCTTGACGAGATAGGTTGGCGAAGATGATGGCGTCGTCGGCGTAGAGGCAAGTTCTTAGAGTTCTAATCCTACCCGGCAGGGGGGTGAGCAGGCCCTGTTCCTGTGCTCTTTCTAAAAGCCGATGCAGAACATCGATTGCAAGGATGAACAACAACGGCGAGAGCGGGTCTCCCTACCGTAGCCCTCTACGGTGGTCGATGGCGCGTCCAGGGCAGCCGTTTAGAACGAAGGCTGAAGAAGAACTAACTAGTAACACTGAAATCCAGTCCCTCCATCTAGCGCTAAACCCTAACTTAGCTAGGAGTTGCAGCAGGTATTCCCAGGAGACGTTGTCGAAGGCCTTGGCTATGTCTAACTTGATCAGCAGGGCAGGTGTTTTTCGACGATGCAGGGAGCGCACAACATTTTGGACATAAAGAAAACTGTCATGGATGCATTTGGATTTCATGAAGGCTGACTGTGCTGGGGAGATTAGCTGGTTCATAAGAGGTGACAGCCGGAGCTGCAGCACCTTCGCAATGAGCTTTGCCATGGAGTGGATTAAGCTTATAGGACGATAGTCAGCCACTGCTTCAGCACCTTCCTTCTTTGGCAGGAGAGCAACCAGTGCCATGTTTAGGGGTTTGAAATCACCTGCCAGGCGGTGGAACTGGTGGAAGGCCACAAGGATGTCGTGTTTGATCGTCGACCAGCAAGTTCTGAAGAAAACACCGTTGAAGCCGTCAGGGCCCGGAGCTTTTTTCGGGGGCATGGCTTTGATGGCATTCCAAATCTCTTCTTCGGTGAAAGGGTTGTCCAGTCCCCCACCCAGAATTGATGGCAGCTGGAGCTCATTCCAATTGATCATTTTTGAGCAATCTTGCTTGGATCCGAGCAGGTTGTTGAAGTGTTCAAAAATGCAATCTTCCTTGTCTTCATGAGCCGTGAGCACTCCATCACTTGTTTTCAGTGCAGGAACAAAGTTTTTGCGACGCCTTGAGTTTATCTTTGCATTGAAATTTTTTGTGTTTGCATCCCCCACTCGCAGCCACGTAACTCTGGATGCCTGTCTCTTTCGGACGCGCTCGATAGCAGCAAGACCAAGCAGTCTAGTTTTCAGTTTCTTCCTCAGTGCGAGTTCAAGTGGGGTCAGCAAACGGGTCTCTTGAGCGACGTCAACGTGAAGAATGATTTCAGAAGCAATGTGGAACTGCAGTCTTGCATCACTGAAGTGTGTCTTGCTCCAAATTTTCAGATCTTTTGCTGTTCTCAAAAGTTTTAGTTTCAGCCTGACGAAAGCACAGGAGTGGTTTACTGGCCTGCTCCAAGCTCTGTCCACCGTCTCGTTAAAATGGGGGAATTTTGGCCAGAAAGATTCAAACCGGAACTTTTCTTTTTTCCTTGGGGAGGTGGCGTCCACCAGGAGGAGAGGGCAATGGTCAGAGCAAGCCGTAGAAGCGGCCATCAGGATAACTGATGAAAAAAGGGCTTCCCAACTGATGTTACAGAAGAACTTGTCGATGCTCTCCAGGGTTGGTCTCTCTTGTTCATTGCTCCATGTAAATCTTCTGTTTTTGCATTTGATCTCTCTGAGTTCAGCCGAGTCAATGGCACTTCTGAATCTGCCCATGATTCTGCGGTTTATTCAGTCATTGTTCTTGTCTCTGGCTTCATAAATTGTGTTGAAATCTCCGTTAATCAGCCAAGGTTGTCCAGCTTGGGGGGCCGAGCTTCTTATTTCGGTCAGGAAATCATCTTTCCTCTCATCATCAGTTGGCCCGTAGACGGTAGTCAACCAGAAGGATTTGCCTGAAGCTTTGAGTCTAACTTAAGCAGTTATAGCAAACTGTCCAATTGCATGGGAGTTGATCTCCACAATATCAGGGTCCCAGAAGATGGCAGCACCCCCTCTAGTGTCAAGAGCAGGCAGCACAACGCAGTCTCTAAGTTTTGCACCGCCAACTTCTTTGGCCAAATCAGCAGTCCAGGTGGAGATTTTTGTTTCTTGCAGACATAGGATACCAAGGCGATGGCAAGCAGCAATTTCAGCAACAGCGGCTCTTCTAGCTGGCGAATTCAGGCCCCGAACTCCAAGAGAGAATTGGACAGAGGTTTTCAATCATGGGGACACCAAAGTTTCTCCGAAAGGTTTACTGAATTGATGATGCTAAAACACGGGTACACTTCCAATCTACCAGGGGGGCGTCGGCGACCACCAATAGGCCCCAACTCTCGCCGGCGCCAGCTACTCGACGAACCACAGCTACAATTACAGAGCATCATCGGGAAACTAGATCCTAACTCTAACTGACAGAAGGTCAGCCACCGTCGGAGACTAGTACTAATGGAGACTACTAACATATGAAACTACTGGCCATCAGTAGCAGCTCCGTCAGGTCCAGCAAGGCCTGCAGCTACTTGGAGGGCCGCCTCGTCCAAGCGAGTGAGCTTGGCGATGCAGGCGAAGTCGTCGATGGCCAGGGGCTCCTTGAAGCGGCGGACGAGCGCCTCGGCGGCCTCCGGGGTCATCTTGTGCTTTGGTCCCAGCATCCCCAGCTCCCGAACGATGCGGAATGCAGCGCGCTCAGCCACTGGGATCGAGCAGTTCATCAGCGCCTGCCTGGTGCTCTGACGCATAGGGGCGGAGGGGGCCCTTGTTCGAGACTTGGGTGGTGCAGACTTGCACGGCGGAGGCGTCTTGACGATTGGCGGTGCCGGGTCGATGAAGAGGGCGTGGTCCGGGGCCGCATTTTCCTCCGGCGTGATCGCCATGCCACTGACGCGTCGAGTGACCGCGCCCAGCTGCACCTCCAGTGTCGAGGAAGAAGGCTGCACTCAGAGGGCGAGGGGTGGGCTCGGTGCGGAGAAGACGAGTGGCGCGGAGAGCGTGGCCTCGATCGTGGCGTCAAGTTCGAACTGCATGCAGTCGACTCTGGGGGCGTCTCGAGTGGCTGCTTGGCCTTGGCGAAGAAGTCGGCAATGGGGTTGACGGTGCAGGGTGGAGGTGGAGGCGGGGTCGCGGGGCGCAGCGGCAGGGGCGGGGTGGCGCCGGAGGCGGCGAGGTCGTTGGAGCGCTTCTCATGGCGTCGCTCCAGACTGCGGCCATGCTGCATGCCGTCGCGGTGACGCGGAGAAGGGGATCAGCTCCTGCGCCTGGACGAGGAGGCATCCGCCGCTGGTGTCTTGTCGATGGAGGCGCGGCCCCTGCCCAGCAGGGTGTCCTTCCAGGAGCGCCGCCCACCGCCCTGGCATCCGTCGTCGTCGTGGTCGCGGCTCCGTCCGTGGAGAGTCAGGCCATGATAGCCAGATGACTCCACCCTCGGGGCCTGGCGGCGGCGACGCCCCTGGCCGTCCTCTACGCCCTTGTACCAGACGCCTGGGTCGATGCGGGGGAGGGGGGAGCCATCGTCCGAGTTGGAGGAGGGCAGCCCGCTCTGGCCGGAGTGGGAGGAGCGCGGCTAGTAGGAGGGCGCCCAATCCTCGACGTTGTCGACGCGGA